CCTTAATTATAATAACTTCATCATTACTTGTTTAAGTTACGCCAGAAGTGTTGGCTTATGCAAACCCAAGCGGGGTCGGTTGTCTTTGAAACTCTTTGTGTTTGAATAAAGAGTCTGACTTTGTTTGTATGCTGTCAAATCCCGAGAATAATTCCTCTACAGCAGGGGTTACCAATCCTATGCACGCGGGCACCATGGCTCCCGACGGTCATTTAACGTGCGCCCACCACTGCGCAATCACAATAAAAATTTTTAGATTTCAATTAAATTCTATGTGAAAGTTTTCTAATTTTAATGAAATAGAAATTTCTCCAACACAGATACCAGCACAAAGCGAAATGCATCCGATCTCTTTTTTTTTATTTCTTTATTTTTTTATGTGAATGTATTATTAACTCTATCCAACTAAAAATTCACCTTGATTGTAAATGGTACCCGCCGTGCAATATATTGTTCCGAAATGTACAGGGACGGTGAGAGAGCTTGCCCGCAAAGCAGGTTGAGGATTGCCAGAGAATGGCAAAGGAAGACAGGGTTTCCAGATTTAGCGAGAAATCGCCCATTTTTGCGACATTTGGCAACAAAATTGACGATATGCCATGGACGGATGGAGAACCTTCTGGAACGAATTCTTACCAGTTTAGCCCAGAATGCTGTCGAACACAAAGCCAAAAGCTATATAAACCCTGCTGGTACGTGGAGAGTGAGTGCGAGAGAGTTAGTCTCGAGTTAGTTCGTGCGTAATCGATCGAGTTGATAGCCGGGAAGCGAGTCCTGAGTGGGTCGTCGAGTGCATCGAAAGAGTCTCTTAGTGTATCGCGAGTTAGTGCATCGTCGAGAGAGTGTGTTGAGCTCTGGGAACGACTGAACCGAAGAGTCGGGAGCTGTGCTCTGTGTGTCGTCGAGTGAATCGCGAGTTGTAGCGTAAAGAGTCTCGAGAGTACGTGGAGTTCCGAAAACGACCGAGCAGAGTCATGAGCTGTACTCTGGTGCTTTGCAGTGAAGCTGTCTTCACCGTTATGCCTGATAACCTGAAGGCTGTGTCGCTGATTGTTTCAGCGAGTCTATTGTAGATCTTCGACGACTGTAAAACGTGATTTTGTAGCTGAGTGCTGCCGTCGTTATTCACTCCAAATCTACAAACCCCGTACGAACGTAACAATATATTCCAGAATGTGCTCTTAGGGACAAAACGTTTGGAACCCTTGCTCTACAGTCGTCCTAAAGCTCGTTAGTTTATGTTTTAAAAGAATACGAGACTATTACTGAACTTAATAAGATTGTTTTATGAGTGGAAAAATATTCTTTCTAAGATATGTTCCAAAATTTGTCGCCACTTAAAATTTTAATGTTAGTTGCACAAGCAATAAATTTTGCATGAATTTACCTATTGGAGCATAAATATAAGTAAACTAAGAAATATAAGTCCTTAAGAAGTGATACAAAGATTGAGAAAACTTTCTGAGATAATCTTCAAACATTAACTCTATTTCATTAGTTTACCGTGCCACATTTCTTTAGGCAGTATTAAATTCTAGTACAGTTATTTGAGTTTGGCAAATTATGAGGGTTACATTTAGATTAAATACAAATATTTTTGTTTTCTTCAAGTACAAGATTTAATTTATGCCAACCATCTAAAAACAGCAGCATTTTTATGCAGCTCTAGCTCTCATGTTTGAATTATTATTCGACAACCATTAAATTCCTCAAGTATAAAATAAAATACCTTCTTTCTACATTTTTGATCCTACAACACTTGCTTTAAACATTATATAAAGGAGCGTTCGATAATTTGTTTCATCCGTTAATTTTATATATTTCAAAAAGCAAAAAAAGCCCTTTCTTACATTCAGAGTCATTAGCGCTAAACGTTTCCCTATACAGCAAACACAGCGAAAATTGTGCAGTTGCCAATATGCGAGGTGTTTTGTTACCTGGTGAAGAGGATCATTATCGATATCCACAGCTGAATCATTTGAAGTAAAGAAGGAAAAGGAGAATACCTGGAATGTTTACAAACGAATATAAGTGGGAAAAACATTTGAAGAAACTTGAGCAGTATCTGTTTATTGGAAGTGAGAAAAAAGTCACAGCTTACACATACTTAATAATGGATCCCACCTTTTGTAAGATCGGCTGTTACATATATCTTGGTATATTGATACATTTATCTTAGTGTAATATTTGTTTAGTCTCGATTGAAACAAGGACAATTAACCCTTATAAAATATTGATTCATCCAGAAGTCTTGGACGCGTCAAAAACTGAATTGCAACAAACGAAGAAACATACCCATTGTTTTCACACTTATATGGTGGGTGGTAAAACTTGTTTTAATGTACGCACCCACTTTGTTTGCTAAATAACCATCAGTCTAGAAAACATATTTCGCCATTTTTTAATGATATTTTTTAAAAAATTTTACTATCCTAAAAATTTATGCTATTTATTAATAAATCATCCATCTGTTTTTCAAATTGAAAAGGAATTTGAAATGGAAGATGCATTTTTGAAGATAACTCGTGGTATAATTTCTATTGGTGTAGCAACGTCTGATTTCAGTGTATGAGAAAAATGACAGATATGCGGAAAGTTGGTTACTTAAAAAATTCTAAGACCAATTAATAATACTGATGAAATCATATATTCTTATGGAAAAATAAAAGTAGCCAAAGGCAAAAATTTCAGTTCGAGTACAGGCAGAACGGTCGCTTCATAAAGGTGACTTGTTATAAAGGTGCTGTCACCTTTAAGCAAAGTCGGCTATTTTTCTACAAGACACAAACCTCCATTACAGTGTTTTGGCATTAATATAACGATATCTTTACGAAAGTTGCATTCCCAGAGTTAAGAAAGGCTCTTCAGTTAGTTGTGGGAACGTTTATGCTGGAGTTCCAGCACAGAAATGAAAAAAGTTCCTTAGAAGTTGGCCACCATTGCCTGCTATGAAGTGACAAACAGTTACAACCATGCCTTCTCCGGGATTCGAACACGGGCCTATCGCTACAGCAATCAGGGTCACTAACCACTATAACAGCTAACCACTCTACCTCAGCGCAGCAAGAGTTAGAAAACTGTAAAATATACAACATTATGACATTACTGGGGTATAATAAGTTATACCCCAGTCGATGGCTTAAAATTAAGAACTTTGATTCACTTTCTTAGCTGGATGCTCTAAAATAGAGTTATAAAAGAGCTGTAAAAGTTTCAATTCCATATCTTTCCTACTCAAGTTTTACTTCTAACTTGAATTCTGAGAGATAATTTCTGACCGTACTGTAGGCACTTGATAGTTAACGGTTTCACCTAGCAGCGTTCGGCATTAAATTTGCAGCCATGCTTTGGAAATATTTTTAAACATGTCTTTGCAAGCTCTAAAACTAAGCGGACTGAAAGGTTAATTTTTAACTCATTAAAATGTAATGAGTACGTTTTGTATTGCAAATTTTAATAAGCTGTATTGCAAATTTTAGAATAATGTTAAAGATTTTATACAAAACCCTTCATTCACAGTACTGAAATTACAGTATTCATACAATTTTCTGTGTTATTTTAAACTTTTAATTAAAATACATGTATAAATCCTACTTGTAAAATAAATATTGAAGGAATCAAAGGTTCTGCTTGTAAATGCTGTAAATCGTTTGCTTCCTGAAAAGTTTTGTGCTAGTATTTTTACAGATTCTATGTTAAGTTTGCAACACAGTACAAAACTTTACTATTAAAAACAAACAAACAATAAAAGCAAAATAAAACATCTGAGAGCTTTAAGATTTTATATTACACCTAAAGGAGTTTTGTTTTCAAGTTTTGTGTGTTACTTTTATCTATTAAATATCATGTTCTTGACATTTAAACCACATAAAATTCAATTCAACAGCAAATACCAGAAAATATTTAAAAACAGTATTCCGATAGACAACATCGCTCGTTGGAGATAAAAAAACGTTTTTCCGTACAGTGTTGCCATTATTCGCGTTGAAACAGTTACGTTTGTTAATTAAAAATTCGCTAAAGTTTTACAAAATATGAAAGTGATAACAAAACAAATTCAAAATTCGGGCTTCCATGTACCGATGTCCGGGTAGAGAATTACGTTTTTCAAAATTTGATGGCTGTAGGTACAGTCGTTTTTTTTCATTGTGAGAGAAACGTACCTACATTCATGCAAATTCTCCGTGACATAAAATATAACAAAAATATTCTAAAGGTTATTTCTGTTAGCTTCATTCGCACTAAAATGTACGACATAAAATAATTATATGACTTCTTGACCCCAACACTGAAAATCTGTAGTTGCTCTTAACATCTTTATATTTATTGGATGCTTTAGAATTAACAAATTAGCTTAACAACATTACATATTTAACATAAACATAAGCAATTAACATAAACAATATTTAAATAACATTTATTGGATGTTTTAGAATTAGCATAGATGCAAAGATATTAGGAGCAAACGAAATTTTTGAGTCTTGGGATCAAGAAGTCATATAATTACTTTATTTCATACTTTTTGGTGCGTTTCAAGCTGAACAAAACAGGTTTTAGATTAATTTTTTTAAAATATTTTGTTTTAAAGATTTTCATTTTGAAATTTATTAAACATCAGCTCTTTATTACGCAAATGTATTTTCACTCAATTATAATTAAATTTTGCGTAATCGCTTAGTTTTGGAAATTCTTAATGTTTTGTTTATATCTGACATCTGATTATAATCATTAATAGATTTGTTTTTGGAAATGATTAGTGTTTTTGTTATTTAACATCTGATTCAGCAAGCAGTTTTTGGCACGGCCCTTTTACTTTATTAGCTAGTAGCGAGTGCTATCTATTAATGAGACGTTACACGAATCTTATCGAGAGCTGTTGCACGGAAGCGGATTTTGCAGAACATAGTTTTATGACAGAGATTTGTACATTAAAAATAGCCTTTAGTAACGCTTAATGTAACCTTGACTTAAAGTAGTACTTTAAATAATACTAAGCTTACCTTCCACAAGGTTAGCCCTTATCTTGACTTGCCACTGTATTAAGAGTTCTCTATTGTCAAAAGCTAATGCTACCACCAACTCCGAGCATATAAGTGCCATGGTGTTACTTTCTTTATCCAAAGTGAACCCGGTTTCCATACCCAAGAACTCCTCCAAAGACAAAGATGCTTTCGTTGGGCCATTTTTACACCTTTCTTTGCTATCTCTGTACAGCTGGATATGAAGGCAATCTACAAGAAAAACATCGTTAACTATGTACAGTATTCGTTTATTCAGCTTATCGATTAAAACATAATTAAGAGCTCATATTATGCAACAAGTTTTAAATAAAAAGTTCCGTTTACGTTGCTCAAAACAGAGCAACGAAAATACTATGCTATTAAACGTTCGATTAAAATTTCCAGAATAATAATACTACGAATGACAAATTTTTCTTTATACCGAAAAAGCAGAGAAAAATAGCGATGGTTCAGTTTTTTGTCTTTAAGATCAAATTTTCAACTATTATTAATGAGAGGCAAATAAACATTGTTTTAAAATGTAAACAAATTATCTCAATAAATTGCATACAAAACAGTGAATTGTGAGCCCTTTACGTAAGCCATGATGCTCGAGTATTTATGTTCGCTCAATGATTACGGCAAAATTTGCAATAAAAGGCTTATAGAAAAGTAAATAAACTAGCATAAAAGAAACATCTAAGATTTCATTAAATTCTAAAAATGACGTTGTAGTATCTCACAATATAATATACACTGGTAAATATTTGTTTATAAAACCGATAATAAATAAATAAAAATCAGGAAAAAGAAAAATTTCAAAGGGTTCAGATTTTAACGGTCGATCAAAAGGTTTTTTTTAAAGTTTTCCACGTCCTCGCTGAGTTCGGAGTCTACCAGTTTGCTGTTCAATTCATTCCCGCTAATCCTTTTCTTTTTTTTATCATTTTGGCTCCATTACTAAGCGTCATTTTCTTCGCACTTACGCCATATACAATACAGCAACAAAATATCTAAAAACAGCATAGCTTCAGAATTCACGTGCTGGCCAAAAGAAGTTTGATGATCACTTGTAGAGAGCTAATTGAAGGTTTCTATTAGCAAGGAAAAAGAAAACCAAAAGTGTGCTTATATTAATTAGAAAACGACTAGCCGCCTGCATAGGTATACTGGTTAGCGCTTCTAGCTGCTGTTTTGATGGAGCACAAAAAGGCATGAATTGTGTATGTGTACAGTGTCTGTGCGGCATGGGAGCACCCAAAATGCACCGCGAGCAAAGTGTCCTTTCGAATGGTTCAGTGGTAGGAGCAGAGAAGCAATCTTGTGCTCTTTGTCACGATATTTGTCAGAATAAAACTCGTGGACTTGTTCTGATAAGGTCAGACAAATGAGAAAGGATAACAACAACAGAAAATTATTATCTCGCATTAGATGTTATTACTTAAAATACATATGCATGTTTCCTTCTATGCATTTTGTTAAATTTTATGAAAGATGAGATAATCACCATTTCATTAGTTGAAGCTTGTGTTTAATGCCTACTTAATATACGAATATTAGTAAATGTTCCTTGCGCTAACTTAGACACAATAAGATATACCCATGCCAAATTGCAAGGTCAGCAGTGGGTTAAATCTCTTACGAGAAATTACGAGCAACTAGATCAAAGAATTTCCTTTCTCAAGCTCCGATTCGAATGAAAAGAGATTGCGCTTGACATAAATATCATCCAAAGAGACTCTGAATCGATTAATCTTAATCACAGAAAATGCGGTGTTAAAAGAAACGGTATCTTAGTAAAAAATACGTAAATGGATGTTGTAAAGTAATGGAATATGAACATGTTCTTATACAAATGTTAAACAACTTCCAAATTCAAAACGAGAATCGTTTTACTGACTTTCTTTTAAGTTGCATATATAAATAAGGCATTTATATATGCAACTTAAAAGAAAGCCTACTTTTAGTTAAATATTTTTTACTTCCTTGTACGAAGTAAAAAGGAAGTAAGTATTGTAATCGCGAAAAATTTCGGGTATCATATTTCAACGAAAATATCCATTTTGACCACTATCGAATGCAATTTAAAGATGTTTTTGGGCGACGTCTTTACGTAATGACAGAATAAAAGACTCCCCCTCCCAGAAAAAAAAAATATAAAACTGATTTAAAATGAATTCTGAAGAGATTTTTCGTGTCGCCTGTACGTACGTACGTATCTCGCATAACTCAAAAACGAGTAGCCTTAGAACCTTGAAATTTTGTATATAGGACAGTTATTAACATGTAGATGTGCATCTTCCATTTTGGTTGTGATCGCCCGCACCAAAAGTATATAAATATACACACTCTGTTACTCGGCTCAGTTTCTTTATTCTTTGATGTTTGTAAATTGTGTATTTTTTGCTTTACAAAGGATTGAATTATTTTGTTCCGGTTATGATTTTTATGCCTTTAGTTAACCTGCATGCAATAATTGTGGAATTATCAACAATTTAAAAGTTTTTTATAACTCGATTCCGGTTATGAACTCTGGACTACATGCAGTATTCCTTGCCAATGTGGTTTAATATACATTGGTTAGACTAAAAGAGCTTTTCGCACTAACGAACATGATATTGGCAAAAAGAAACACATAAATCCTCTTCTGACTAATACTGTTAATTAAAAGATTACATTTTCCATCTTTCGGCATCAAAAATCATTCAAAAGAATCTCCCTTTGGCGAATGAAGTTTCAAAAGTTCTATAACCGTTCCAAATTCAAGAGAAAATTTTTAATTTTGGCAATATTCCAAATTTCAATGCGTCTTTACCTTCAGCTTTTAAGGAAATTATTTCGCAGTTATTTTCACTTTTATCAATAGACTGAGCTTTGTGTCTTTAACAGAATTATCTCGAATTTCATAGCCTATTGTTACCGCGTGAGCACAGGCTTCTTTTACACTCCTGCTGCTACAGAATGTTTTACATTCAAACCTTGATAATTATTCCTGATAATTCACTGAAATAGCGCAGGATTTTATTGCCTTAATATCGCAGTTCATACGTTATTTTCTACTTTTCTCAACAATGCATTAAACGTTCTCAGTATTTCTCTACATAATTATGATAATTCAATCATTTAGAATTAAAACTTAAAAATAAGATAATTTTATGAAAGGTGTGATTTGTGCAAGAACTGCTAACGATATAACAATGCCGTTTCATAGGAATATAACGAAAGCTACATATTTTCAACGATAATATCTAAAAGCCACATAAAAGTATTAAAAAAGGAAGGAAAGGAGGTTAAAAACTGAAATATTTTAGCAATGTATTTTATTGTTTATTATTTTGTTAAATGCAGATGTACCAAAATTACAGAACAATCACATTTGCTAAATACGGTTTTACCTGTTAATATATAAAATATTTTTGCAAAATTATCGGGATAAGAAAACCTTTTTTATACATTTTTCTTATAGTTCTTTTAATCGGGGAGATGAACTCATTTTAAGGCGCATTTGAGTTCCACTTCTAAATTATTAACAATAATATCAACGATTTTATAAACTTCAATGTTGAAAAATTTGGTTCGTAGAGGTTGTTTCAAATAGAGGTTACGGTTCCCTTAGCGCTGAATTACAAGTACCCTAAAATAATTTTCCTTAGACGATTGTTTCCAATTTACCAATCCTGAAGCATCTCTTATCAAATTAATTTGGATTTGTGCTTGGATTTGTGACATTAGTTTATCTGGTTAGGAATTATGTTTTAAATTACTTGTTGTTATTAGACAAAATACTTACGGAGAAATGGCAACAGCTATTCAAATTGCTGTTCTGTTTACATTCGAGAAGCTATAGACATGTACGATGCATTAAGAACGTCTGTTGTGATAAGTGTGTCTGTTTAAGTTACATGCAATTAAGTTACGAACACAATTTATCTTTTATTAATATTTGTTTGTCTTTTAAAAAACATCTTATGAGTAATTAATTTAAATACAAGAAGAAGCTAAGAGATAGTTAAAGGTTATAGTTCTTAAGCATGAAAATTTCAGATGCCTGCAACCATAAAAATGTATTTACTTAAATGTAACTACCGAGATGTATAAAATTAAAAATGTCCTTTATTACAGGAGACGTATTTCAAGTGTTCATTAAACCCTATATGATTCATATCAACTGCGTTGGACGACGTGGATACATAATGGAAGAAATTTAACCCATCTCTCAATAACAATTCTTCTTCTTAAAAAAAGAAAAAAAACTGAGGTGGTGCTGAACATCATTCCCCAAACTGAAGCTAAGCATTGAAAATGGATAGTGACCATTAATATCCTGCTTTCTAATGTGCACTTTTCGTTAAAAGAGTCAGGAGTAGGTCAGGTACCCAGGAGTAAAGCGGGAATCGTAGGTGTATTGACTGTGCCAGCTAGAGTAGAAATAACAATTTTATTCTCCCCGTCTAGTGAGGACTCTCGGATGTGATTAATCACTGGCGCCCGAAGGAGAGTTTCCTTCTGGATGCTACCGTAACCACATCACACTCTAGTTCCCGAATCAGGCTATCAGAAGGGCGCAATCACATATTTATAATTTGTATTTTCTGGAATTTTCGCGATATATCGAGTACTTGCATGAATAACTCTGCAAAGTGATACTTGCACAGATATTAGTCATTTGTTCAGGGATTCCGAAGACTTATCGTGTTCGAGGTTAACTAAAATTCTAGAAAGCTAAGAGATAAAATTGAGCTAAAATTTCACTAACACTCCATCTAAAAGTAACAAACTTTGCCCGCCACTACTTATAGGTGGCTGTCAGGAATACTAAAGCTTAAATATGTAACAACACAATAAATGGATTCAGTGTAAAAAAAAAAAAAAAAAAAAAAAAAAAAAAAAAAAAAAAAAAAAAAAAAAAAATCCTCGATTTTACCTATTCGCGATTTCTATGCATAAGCGTTGGCAAGTACAAGAACACTCATCGGCATACAAGTGAGACGCTTGTGAAATAACTGTTTTATTGACGTAATGCCAAAACTCTTTCTAAATTACAGATTCGCTCGTTATTTACACACCACATATTTCTGCAATCTGGTGAAGTTTACGGAAGGATTAGAGGTTGCTAAGAAAAATCCACGTGAAAAGAACGTGTTGAATAGCCATGGACACGATGAATCATTTATGAGGCACTATAAAGCTTATATGACAAATCATACCACGCTGAAAAGCCAATGAAACAG